ACAACAATGTCTAAATTAACTGTCTCTATCAACCCAGTACACTGAGGAGACAAGCAATTTCCTTAATATATAGAATCTTCCATTCCAGTTGGATTTTTGTGCAGCTACACCCATAAGCAAAATACTAGTTTAGCAAAGTGTAGCAGTTACACTTTCTCATAGGGCAAAATATCTTTATCTTCATGTGATTGGTCAGCTCAGCCCTATCCATTCAAGATAGGTCAAACAAGTACCGGAGTTTTTTTTTTTGTTTGTTTTGACAGAGTACCAAACTATATTTACTGTTTACAGTAGTAAAGGACAACAAATAATATACAAATTGGTGAATAAACACAAGAGCCAACAAACATCCCACGCCTGCCCACACAGCAAACTGCAAACAAGAACATTTTCAGCAAGATTTCCAACAAGCAAGAGATGACAGGCCATGTTAAACCAACAGGTGACTACAAAAAGCAAAGAATGGCTGTCAAGCAGCAATGAAGGACAACAGGCAAAATGTGAGACTTTTTAATTGGTTGTTGTTGTTGTAAGGTGCCATCGAGTCGGAACCGACGCATAGCGACCCCATGTACAGCAGAATAAAACAATGTCCGATCCTGGGCCAACCTCACTAACGCTGCCACACTTGACGCCATCAATGATGCCACCTGGCTGATCCATCTCGTTGAGGGTCTTCCTCTTTTTATCTGACCCTCCACCTTACCCAGCATGACATCCTTCTCCAGCGACTGTTCTCTCCGGACAATGTGTCCAAATTATGAGAGACAAAGTTTGGCCATCTTGGCCTCCAAGGAGCACTCTGGCTGCACTTCTTCCAAAACAGATCTATTGGTTCTTTTGGCAGTCCGTGGTACTTTCAGTATTCTCCTCAAACACCACAACTCAAAGGCATCAATTCTTCTACGATCTTCCTTATTCACTGTCCAGCTTTCACATCCATATGAGGCTATTGAAAACACCATGGCTTGGGTCAGGCGCACCTTAGTCCTCAAGCTGGCATCTCTGCTCTTCAATACTTTAAAAAGTTCCTATGCAGCAGATTTGCCCAATGCAATACGTCGTCTGATCTCATGACTGCTGCTTCTGCGAGTGTTGATAGTTGTTCAAAGAAGAATGACGTCCTTGACAAATTCAATCTCTTCTCCATTGATAAGAATGCTGTTTATTGGTCCAGTGGTGAGGATTTTTGTTTTCTTTACATTGAGTTGTAATCCATATGGAAGACTGTGCTCTTTGATCTTCATCAGTAAATATTTTAAGACCTCTTCACTTTCAGCAAGCAAGGTTGTATCATCTGCATATCTCATGTTGTTAATAAGTCTTCCTCCAATCCTGACGCCACATTTTCCTTCATAGAACCGAGCTTCTCGTATTATTTGCTCAGCAAACATATTGAACAAGTATGGTGAAAGAACACAACCCTGTCACACAGCTTTCCCAATTTTAAAACATTCAGTGTTCGCATGCTCTGTTCTAACAACTGCCTCTTGGTCCAGGTACAAATTTCTCAGAAGTACAATTAAGTGGCGGAGGCCATGTGGAGGACCATAAACATGAAAGGCTCATTGTTAAGTAGGGCCACAATGGGTCCCGCTTTTGTGGCACTGGGTCCCAGGAGAGATCTCATGTGAGGACTCTGCTGTCTCTGTCTCTTTGTTTTAATCAGCTAATTTTTAATTTTCTTGATTTTATAATAAAAGTTTTCAGTAGAATCTTACTAAGAAATATATTAGATATTTAAAACTTGCACATTCACACCATATTCAATCATGTGTAGTCCTAAAGAATGCTCTCACACTAACAATAAGTTTCACCACTAGGAAAAACCAGCTAAAGTTTTTGCCAGCTCAAGTTTAAGATTACATTCAACATTCTGAGTAGTTTCGGTCAGGGGCATCAAGACCTCTAGAAAATTAGCTAAAAATGCAATTTAGGGCTAAGGGAATAATAATAGATCATAAGCAGAAATTTAACTATATGTTTTGTATAGAGTTTTTTGGTATAAGGAAGTTGTTCTGTTTCTTCTTGGCTACAAAACTTTTTTTTATGCTTCTTGTTTTTCTTGTTTAATAAATCATGAGAAACAATTGTGTTGTCAGTTACCAAAGCAAATAATGTCTAGGTACATGTTGTGATTAATGAATCTATAGAAAATTATAGGTGAGGGTAAAAATAGGAGTTGAAATTTGGGGTTGTGTTTTAAGGTTAATGTGACATTTTTAGAGCAATGAAGTTTGCTTACAGAAATCAGATATTGTCTAACTATGTAAAGGGGTACAAGGAAGATTTTTATATTCTTGATGTTCTATATTGAAGTGATTAATATATATGATTTAGACCACTACTTTGAAAAGAATGATTAATAGATTGATGGTATAGGGTAGTATAAAAGCTGTTTGAGAATTTGAAATAAATGGAGAAGATTCACCATCTAACAATATCCATCCATTCTATGAGCTTCATTCTTTGCCGATGTCATACCTCCCTCTAGGACCCCCAAATAAGAGTGTCGGAGCTGGCTTCCAACAATTAAGTGTTCTGAAATATTCATACTTCTCAATGTTGTCCATAGCTTGTCATGATCCACACAATTGAAAGCCTTCGCGTAGTCAATAAAGCATAGGTAAACATCCTTCTGATATTCTCTGCTTTCAGCCAAGATCCATCGGACATCTGCAATGAT